AAAATGCAACCTGTGCTTCTGATAGAAGTAGTGCGACTCATGCAACACGTTGGCGATTAAGATACACAGTATATACATACTTTATCAACCTTCTGAGAAAAATACAAAACACTAAACAAAGCCACAAAAACTTGCAAACTACCCCGCCTAAAATGAACTTATAATGTCTGGTTTCAATAGATTTTTCAAATGCTTAACTCAGTCTTTTAGATAAGTTGATGAAGATACCAACAAAAGGTAAGTTCGGTGGTATTCACAATACCGAGAGATGCTAGTAGAGTTGTAGATAGAGACAGGATGCCGGCATTTTGCACCTGTTTCTCCCTAGCAGTCCAAGTAATCAAAAGGCCGCTGTTGGCCCCCGATGGGGCCCTTTAACTGGGGCTTGCAGGTAGCACACTCCCAAGGTAGTTTTCCGGGCTCCTTCAGTGGTCTAATCTCAAAGTCTTGATACGTATATAGATATTCAATCTTATAGAGAATACTCTTTCTTGGCTTAAGCTTAAGAGACTGATTTGCTTAGCAAACTATCACCTTTTGTTACCTTACCTTTTGTTAACAAACTTACCTTTTGTTAACATTCCTATATTACATCGGTAAATGTTGTCATATTACATTACAGGACTTACTATAATATAATTTTCAACATGTATACCTAGAAAGAAAATGAAACAAAACAGAAAGAACAAAGAGAAAAAACAAAAACAATCCCCATCCCCCCCAAGTCAAATACAAGCTACAAGAATTAGCTGAAATGGCGCAGCTAACAAATACCCTGAGAGGCAATTCAAAACAAAAAATTATGGAAAATTGGGAGAGATATAAAACATATGTTCAAAAATACAGTAAAGGTTCACTGTCTATGCTGGCATTTGATTGACGTTGGAGTGAGACTGAGTTGAGAAATAAGACTAAGAGCACATATTGATATAGGAATTTATTAGATAATATGTAAAGAAATATGCAACAATAAGAGCACATTCATTTGTAAAAAAGGAATATACAACGGGAAAGACAGGAAGTCTAATGTGTTGGTATGTATATAGCCCAGTTTGAGGCCTAGCTAGCAGTTCCAGTCCAGGGGTAGGGAACCTTTTTCAGCAGCCTGCTCCAGGCAACCATGCAGGGGCCACATAAATGTGGCGGGTGGGGCCAGAAGCAAAAGTGACACACACACACACACACACACACACACACACACACACCCCTTGCACCAGAGAGCTGTTGTCATCCAGACTTTACAGCTATCTGAGGAATTCAGCCCGAGGGCTGCTAGCGCTTGCGTAAGATTGCTGTGGCTTCCCTCTTCTGATCCAAGACTCTGCCACTTGAGCAATTCATTAAAGGCAGTCATAAATCGCTTCTGCCCCTCCCACTCTGACCTGGTAAACCTCAAGGAAACATTAATAGTTGGTTTTGTGTCAAGAGGAGGGTCCCTACAAAATCCTGGTGCATAAGAGCTTTCTTCTGAGTTGTAGTTTATTTATTTGATTATTCAGATATTCTTTTTACTGCCTTCAAATTTTGGCATTCATCACTCTGGGCCTATTGCTAAAGGCTTCCCCCAAGCCTCTGGTTGGCCACTGTGAGAACATAGCGCTGGACTGGAAGGGCCTTTGGTTTGGTCCAGCAGCTGGCTCCTCTTACGTTCTCATTTGCAGCGCGGGTATTATAAAATTGCTTTAATGCTCTCTTTAGTACATACTGCCCAAGTGCTCCCAAGCTTGCTAATGGAGACTGTTGTGCCTTTGATCAACTTGTCAGCTCGCCCTTAGGATCATCCCTTGCTAATAGAAAGCTCACCCTGTAGCGGAACTGCTCTCTCAGTACATACTTAAAACAAAAAAACAGGCATTTGCTGGCAGCTTAATTAGCTGCACATCACACCTGAAGCAAAATGACAACTTTCAGTGTCACTGATGTATTAATTCTGTATGTACACCAGACGTGACTTGTTGGGCAATTGTGCCAAAAACTTTCTTCTCGTGTTATTCACAGTTCTTTTCTTTCATATGATTTTTTTCACTGAAAACTTTTCATAAAATGCAAATATTTGATTATGGAAGGGGAGGTTTTACGCTTTGCTTCAAGCAGAGTGAGTAAATGGACATTAATGCGGCCGGCCAAGGAAATTTGGGGCAGATCTACAAAGACGTAAAGGACCCCTGGACAGTTAAGTCCAGTCAAAGGCGACTATGAGGTTGCAGCGCTCATCTCACTTTTCAGGCTGAGGGAGCCGGTGTTTGTCCACAGACAGCTTTCTGGGTCCTGAGGCCAGCATGACTAAACTGCTTCTGGTGCAATGGGACACTGTGACAGAAACCAGAGCGCACAGAAATGCCATTTACCTTCCCGCCGTAGCGGTACCTATTTATCTACTTGTGCTGGTGTGCTTTCAAACTGCTAGGTTGCCAGGAGCTGGGACGGAGCAATGGGAGCTCACCCCGTCTCGGGGATTCGAACCGCTGACCTTCTGATCGGCAAGCCCAAGAGACTCAGTGGTTTAGACCATAGTGCCCCATCTACAGCATACATTGAAAGCACATCTAACACATGTTTAAAGCACATTCCTCGTCAGTGAGGGCCTGCCTTGGCCCTTCTCTTCTCTTGCCACATCAATCTGGCCATCTTTCGCTCCACCTCCCTCGTTTTATCCCACCTAAGAGTGGCTGCAAACCAATCTCCAGTTAGATTCTTGCGAATTATGCTTAGCCTTCCAGGCTGCGGGAGATACGGCGGTGCTGACGCCGGGGCGCTCACTCTGTGTGCGTGTTTTGGATGTACAGTAGCCGCCAACAATCGTCCGCCGGGCTCCCCAATTGCCATCTCTCACTCAGTCCCATGACCTTCTCGCCATCACTGCCTTCCTGCCCATCTGCCCTGCCCATCTGGCCACGTTGCGTTGCAAATAATGGCACTGCAGTGTTCGGTGCCAGCTGTGTGGCTCCACGGCGCCCAATTCCCTCAGCTGCGTGCGGGACGTGGTGCCTGCTGAGGTCACCGTCATGTGAGGCTGCTGGCCTTGCAGCTGTACGGAAAGAGGCCGCGCTGCCCTTCGTGACTCCGGGAGATGTGTGTCTGTTGTTGAATCCTCGCCACAATGCAAGAGGGGTTAAGGGCGCTTGCAGCAACACTGGGGCCATTCATGCCATCAAACTGGAGATTGTTGGAGCAGTAGGGGGGAAACGCCCAAGTCAGAAGCAAGCTCTGGACATGCTGCAATGGCAACTGGGCACAAAAACACACACACACACCAATGGAGACACATTTGGGGTAGCCCTGATTGAGCCTGGCTTTGAACAGCCTTTAGCAGCTGCGTCTCCAGGAGAAATGTGGGCTGTACTCCTTTTCCCATCGGGATATTTCAGTGATGGGAAAGCCTCTTTCAGTTGACTTTCTCCCTCTAAAACTCCTAGGAAGCTTTTACAGTGGTACCTCGGATTAAGAACTTAATTCGTTCCGGAGGTCCGTACTTAACCTGAAACTGTTCTTAACCTGAAGCACCACTTTAGCTAATGGGGCCTCCCGCTGCCGCTGCACTGCTGCTGCGCGATTTCTGTTCTCATCCTGAAGCAAAGTTCTTAACCCGAGGTAATATTTCTGGGTTAGCGGAGTCTGTAACCTGAAGCGTCTTTAACGTGAAGCGTATGTAACCCGAGGTACCACGGTATTTGGGAGACCATGAAGGGCAACTTTCTGACTAGCAGCATGATTTTACGTATGTCTACTCAAGCTAACTAGCTCAACGGGACTTAATTTTTTGTCGTATTGTACCATTTGTATTTAAATATTTGTCACTTTGAGGCATTTTGCATTAGGCAAGGCGTACATTATCAGTAGAAGCAGTAGAAGCAGTAAAACAAGTAAGAGTCAATCATATTGGTTGCCAGTCATGGGACTGCAAAAACCTGCCCCTTTTAATTTTGTTTTCCTTCCCTCTGGGAGAGCAACCAAATGTGTTCTGGCCATACCGAAGCAAGTTGCAGCCTCCGCTGTGAAACTGCAAACAGAACTCCATGCTGCAGCATTCTATTACAGACCCAACTTGTCCTTTTTAAAAAAAAACACCAAAAAACCCGAAAATGCTGGAAATTTGTAACGGGAGTTGTTCAGCGTAGCAGTCACTAGAGAAACATTCCTTTTCCTTTTCTTTTGCATGAATTCACTTGGATGGTTGGAGTCTCTGTTCCCATATTGGAAAGATGACGGTTCAGTCGCCTTCTTCGAAAGTTAACTGCTGAAAAGGGAGAGCACCTTTTCACAGCGTGGCTTTGGAGAAGCACACTATGTTATTGTTCTCTCATTAGTCACACATCTTTCTTGCGGTTAGTAATTAGTTAGCTCTTTGCTAAGAGCTGTTTGCTGAGAGCTCTTTGCCGAAAGCTGAACTCTTTGTTCTGTACCAGGTCTGCTTCTAACATTAAGCCAAATTTATGTGCGGTCTGCTCTTTAATGCACCCATCCATCACATTTATATACCCCGGCCTGGCAAAGTGAAGTTTGTGCAACAGCCACAGAACTGGCAAAGGACCCAAGAAAATTCCCACTTTGCAACCAAGTAATTTGTAGGTAGTGGGAAATAATTGGTTTGCATACTCTACCTATTCTGGGTTTGCATACTCTACCTATTCTGGGTTAGGTAGGTTGTCTGTAGACTCAGCTAGACTGGCAAATAAAAAGCGGCTAATATGCGTGCAGAGACATCACCTTGCCAACAAAGGTCCGTATAGTTAAAGCTATGGTTTTCCCAGTAGTGATGTATGCGTGCTCTGGTCCATGGGGTCACGAAGAGTCGGACACGACTAAACGACTAAACAACAACAACAACATGCGTTGTGTATGTGATATAACATTGTGCCACCAGATGTGGAGCCCCCCTTTTCTCTACCTGCTTTCCTTGTTTAGATTGACAACTCTTTAAACTGAAACGCTTGTTTGATGTCGTACATAATCAGTCTTACATTTGAGGGACATTGGATGATTCAGGACAGACAAAATCCTTGGGATACCTCAGCTGATAGAGCATGAGTCCCTTAATCTCAGGGTCGTCGGTTTGAGCCCCACATTGGGCAAAAAATACCCCTGCATTGCAGAGGGTTGGCCTAGATGATTCTTGTGGTGCCTTCCAACTCTATGATTCCACAAAAGCACTTCATCACATGAAACATAGATAAATTGTGGAATTTGCTCCTGCAAGATGTAGCAACAGCCACCAACTTGGGTGGTTTTAAAAAGAAGATTAGATGAGTTCTTGCAGGAGAAGGCTGTGTTGTTGTTGTTTAGTTGTTTAGTCGTGTCTGACTCTTCGTGACCCCATGGACCAGAGCACGCCAGGCACTCCTGTCTTCCACTGCCTCCCGCAGTTTGGTCAAACTCATGCTGGTAGCTTTGAGAACACTGTCCAACCATCTTGTCCTCTGTCGTCCCCTTCTCCTTGTGCCCTCCATCTTTCCCAACATCAGGGTCTTTTATGGGTGTCTTCTCTTCTCATGAGGTGGCCAAAGTATTGGAGCCTCAGCTTCAGGATCTGTCCTTCCAGTGAGCACTCAGGGCTGATTTCCTTAAGGATGGATAGGTTTGACCTTCTTGCAGTGCACGGGACTCTCAAGAGAAGGCTATTGCAGGAGAAGGCTATTGACATCTATCAGCCACAATGCCTGTGTTCTGCCTCAACTGTCAGAGGCAGTAAGTCTCTGAGAACCAGTTGCTGGGAATTGCAGAAGGTGAAAGTGCTGCTCTACAAGTTTTCCATCGCCATCTGGTTGGCTTCTTTTTGTACAGGGTGCTAAACGAGATGAACCTTTGCTGAGATCCAGCAGGGCTCTTAATATGATAGTTCTCTATTCGAAGGTGTCCTCTGCTTGAATAATAATAATAATAATTGAGGACTTTCTGTTTCTGGTGGTGGAAAATAGCTGATCCCACACAATCGGACTTCAGCCATTCCGATAATTCAGGGCTGATATGGGGGTAATTAGCCCTGGCAGCCTCCCCAGGGCAGGGGAGGACTGTCTCAACGACCCGCAGTCTGCCCCAGATTGCCGATGTGGCAGACGGCAGGGGCACTGGGTCACGGAGCTAGGGCCGGCTGACACTCCTGCGACGCCACCCCATAGCCGGACGCATCTGTTTGGGAAAATATAAAGATTTGGAAAACAAACAGACACGCTCTGAATTGAAGAAGCTGGAAAAAACCTGCAGTATGTACAGTCTCTGGTGCAAAAGATCGAACTTCAAAGAGATCCTCATCATGATGTTTGGAATGTGGAGGAGCTTGGTATGTAAAAAAAAACATTCTTTTATCCTTAACATCAACAATCCGTAATTCATGCCAAGTATCATTAAGAACTTAAATTGCTCTTCAAAAAGTGAGTTCAGATGGACTTGCATATATAATTGGGATCTACTCGCAGCCACTTCTCTTCTAAGACCGGAAATGTCTGTTAAAGACGAAAACAAAGGACAAAGGACAAAATGGCGTCTTCCACCACGTCGTTATTGAATATCTGAAATACTTCCCTGATTAAGAGAAACAGGCGCTAACGGATGGTTGGTTATAAAGACTGGAAACAATATTACATATACAACTGTTTGCAAAAAGATTTTTTTTGATTACGAGCGAGAGAGAGGGCTAAATAGATGTCTGGCAGCCCCCCTCTAGGGCCCAGAGGGGGGACTGGGAAGATTCCAAAGGCCAATTGCTAACTGTCTGATATATGGCTACATTGCAAACAGTCTGTTTAAGATAAATCAACAAGGAGGGTACAGAAGGAAATTTCTCTCTGTTTCTTTGATAACACCTGGACGGGAAAGATTAACGATCTGGGAGCTGCCAAAATAACAACTCTCAAAGAGCTGGACAGAACTTTGAAATTGGATGCAATTAAATGAAGCAGTGTGATGAAAAAACAGCTCAAAGAGTACAATATACGGACAAATCTGCACTCCATAGGGAAAAAAAAGTATCGGTTTTCTGACATGAGTGAGGATCGTAGAACCAGAGTCAAAATGTGGAAGGGAAAATCGGACATGGAATTATGAATAACATTGAGGATGATGAGAGGCAGGACTATGATGTTGAATGCGCTTCGAAATTCAGACCGTGGGAAGTCAAAACAAAATTATTACAATTTGGAAGACAATTGGACCTTTTTTTATTTTAGTTTTTTATTTTTATTGGATTTGATTTGATATGTTCATTGGATGTTTTTATTGGAAAATTAATAAACGCTTTAAATAATAATAATAATAATAATAATAATAATAATAATAATAATAATTGTAATAAAAAAATTAAGGGCTTACATATATATATAATAAATGTTCATAAATGTACCAACCAAGCATGTACATAGATATGTGGACCACATGTTTGGAGCAGCACAGGAAGACCGACCTGAAACCATTTTGACTCCCAAACTGACCAAATGTTTTCTCTGCAAGGAGGGAGGGGGTGAGGGAACCTTCCCATTGTCTCAGGAATTGGGTAATCACCATTTCAAAGGAATGGCCAGACTACCAGGAAAGGCAATCAGATAAGGCATTATCAGATAACCTGGCAGACAGGAAAAACAACAACATTCAAATTTCTGTTGTAGACCACCTTTTCTGTGATGCAGGTATGATGTTTGTGGGGGGTGGCCTTGGTTTACACCCCTTCTGTGATGTATGTATGATGTATGGAGGGGTGATCTTGAGCTCCAGGGCAGGGAATTTAAAATGTCTATATAAGGACAGGCACATCTTGGTTCTGGGTCCTCCTGAAGCACCCTGTTGCAACAGTTCAATAAAGATCAGGCTTACTAGCTGCTTTGCTTCTCAATATTCTCTGGTTGGCCTCTGTTATTTTCTCCTACCAATGGAGAACCTACAAAGGACTCTATAAGGGCTCTTGTATCCCCCATAAGGGAAGAAGGGCAGATTTTGTTTATTTAATAATAACAATAATAAGAATAAGAATAATTATACCCCGCCCATCTGGCTGGGTTTCCCCATCCACTCTGAGCGGCTCCCAACAGAATATTAAAAACACGATAAAACATCAGCCTTTAAAAACTTCGCTAAACAGGGCTGCCTTCAGATGTCTTCTAAAAATCAGATAGCTGTTTATTTCCTTGACATCTGAAGGGAGGGCGTTCCACAGGGAGAAGGCCCTCTGCCTGGCTCCCTGTAGCCTCATTTCTCGCAGTGAGGGAACCGCCAGAAGGCCCTCAGTGCTGGATCTCAGTGTCTGAGCTGAACAATGGCGGTGGAGACGCTCCTTCAGGTATACTGGGCTGATGAAGGGTTGCCTGTTCAAGTCCGGTTTCCACAGCCCTAAAAAGGGGCAGGCAGAAGAGACAGGAGGGAGCTGATTTATGAACCGCCCTCTTGTGATCAGGAGCCCTGAAAAACATTATGCAGAGGATGAATCACACACCCTCCAACATTCCTCAGATGAAAATAGGGACAGTGTCATTGTCCCGCTAGACGCAGCAGCCAAGCGAAGCAAACCAGAGCCAATCAACTGCAATGGCTGCTCTTCAGCTCCCGCAACCCCCAGCAACAGCCTTGTGGATAGATCCTGCCCCCTTTGTTCCCCCACCCACCACTTTCTTTATAGGAAACCGACTGACTAAGGAGCAAGGATATGGTGAAAATCTTTCTTAGGGGCATTCAAGCGACTCAGATATTGTTTTCATAAAAACAGGAAGTGGTGCCATATTGAGGTTTTTTTTGGGGGGGAATTAAGGGAGCAGGAGGCATAGATCTAAGAAATGTGTTAGAGGGACACACAGATCTGAACTTCCAGTACCACACTGAAACACTGCACTGGAACTGGAAATTCAGGACTCTGTGTGAAAAAGTGAGAAGTCGTAATGGCTTAAGGGTTTTCGTGATATCCTGTCATTTTCAGGGCAGTTGGAGGGTATGGAATCATGTATGTTTCAGTGAATCGAAAGGTCTCAGTTCCTTACAGAGCAAGCCAACAGAAATGGGAGCAGCATGCTTTAAGCAAAACCAAGAGCTTCTAAATGCCATATATTTCCATGGTGCACACGTAGTTCTCTCTCATTCAGATCTATGGGCCCCTGGAGTACTTAACTCTGGCTCTCGATGGCATCCACATTCCTTTTCATTTGTGGAAATCTTGGCTGAAGGGTTTGAGATGCGCTGCCTGGTGTTAATAATTATCCCATTTGCAAACCTGTCCCCCTTTCCCCCTCCTTCCCCACTGCCGTATATGATCCCAAATGCCACTTTTAGAAACGTTTGCCGCAATAATGGATTGCTGCGTCAGCTTGCTTGGCACTCTGACCTTAATGCCCCCTCATCACCTTTGCAAATATAATCTCGCAGGTGTAATAAATATAGGGTTTCCTGCCCCAGCACCGCACTCTAAAGTCTGGGAGGCAGAGCTTGCGATTCTGTTCCCCCTGTAACTAAAATCTAAGCGAAGGCCATTTGAAAATCCGGTATGGGGGAGCAGTTGATCAGGAAACAATGGGGTTTCTTCATAGCAGATCTCATTAGGCTGATTAAATAGTTGGGAAAGCGAAGCGTGAAAAATGAAACATGACTGTTGTGGCGGCTTGGGAGCTCTGAGCTTTTCAGCCACGGATGTTGCCCTAACAGCAATTTCTCACATTCAGTAGTGGCATTCTCGTTAGTCCTCCGAGATTTGAACCCCACATGCATTCGTGGGTTAGTTAGGCTTTGCGAACTGGGCAACCGAATGTGGCAACAGGGCTGGACAAGGCGCTGTTGCTGTTGTTTTTCCAAAGAGTTGCAGGTGGTGTGAACACAACCTCGTTTCATCTCATTTCTCCCTTTGCCATTGCTAGTCAATGAAGTTAACATGGGGAGCTTGGCTTTCAACATTGTACAGTGGTACCTCAGGTTACATACGCTTCAGGTTACAGACTCCGCTAACCCAGAAATATTACCTCAGGTTAAGAACTTTGCTTCAGGATGAGAACAGAAATCGTGCTCCGGCGGCACGGCAGCAGCAGGAGGCCCCATTAGCTAAAGTGGTGCTTCAGGTTAAGAACAGTTTCAGGTTAAGTACAGACCTCCGGAACGAATTAAGTACTTA